AAGTGTGAAATGTCTTTACATGGGACAAAGAGCAACGAAGTATTTCCCAAACATTCCATCAAAATAGGGAACTCCCTGCCACACTGGTGACTGGCAAAAACGTAGAAGTGTATGAAGTGGGTACTGTCCGTGATGGCTAAATGGATCCTCCAAGGTCAGAGTCAGTCTACCCCTGAGAAATGGTTGCTAGTGGGCAAAAGCAGACACCCACTCCTGTCCTGGTTGTGAAGCATCAAGCCTGTCCATCCTTTCCCAGGCTGGTGTCCCACACATGTTTGGGACTGCCAGGATTCCTGGCCACTGGCCATGCTGGTGTGGGTGAAGGGGAGCTGCAGGCCAAACCATACGGAGGGCACCAGACCGAGGAGGGCTGCGCCTGCCCATGTTGGAAACAGGAAGGAATCAGTGGACCTTTGCTCTGATCCAGCAAGACTATTCTTGTATGCAAGAGAGGGTAGCCCACAATCTCTTTGAAATGCTTGGAGAAGAAGGGAATTGCCAGAAAACATCTGTGAGGTCTAAGAGGATAAATGCAGAGGAGGAACTGGATTTTTAAAAGACATTCATAGCTGTCTTCATCAACGATGTCTCAGTTCAGAGGTCCGGGCAAAGAACAGATGTAAAACATTCAGCATCTCAGGCTGTTGTTTAGTTTAGGGAGTAGGGCGGAAAAACCAACTACATTTCAGAATCCTATTTATCAATGAATCATTCCAGAAGTCTGACGTTGAATAAGAAAGTAAAAGAAATGTTAAATTCCACTGAAAGTATCCATGTTTAGAGAGAACTTTTATAATGATAACATAGCAGAAAATGTTGGCTTGGAAAAAAGCCAGTAAAGGGTGGAGGAGGAGATGGCAGAGGTGCATAAAATGATGTGGAGAAAGCAGAATTCATAAAAGATTGAGTCATCCCACTAAGCTGATTAGTGGGAGATCCAGGAGAGATAAAAGCAGCACCCTACAGGTACTTGACAGGCTGTCACAAAGAGGAAGTTCAAGATCTCTTCTCACTGATACCAGAGTGTGGGACATGGAATAATCCATTCAACTGGTGATAACTCAGTGTCAGGCTAGATATCTGGAAAAGTTTCCTCACTGTAAGAGCAATATGAGAGTGGAACCAGTTGCCTAGAGTGGTCATGGGTTCTCCCACACTACAGACATTCAAGGCAGAATAGGACAATCACCTGAGTGGAATGGGGTAAATTAGTGCCCTACAATAGCAGGGGGTTGGACCTAATGGCCTTCTTGGCCCCTTCCAACTCTACTGTTCTACACCACAGACTGTACTGATGGGCACCAACACAGATGGCTAGACAATGCGAGATGTTTAAGGCTATCCATGGCCTTGGTCCATGGCGATGATGGCTACATTTTACCTCTGATATCAAAGGCAGCTTTGCACTCATATCCTGCTGTGGGACAGGCAGGTGTCTGACCACAGCAGGAACCAAATGGCTTTGGTCCAAGGTCACCCTGCTCCTTCTAGGTCCTCCAGCATGAGGACCACTGTGCCTGTACTTTGCCACTTCTCGTCAAGATGTCTTGGCTCACGAGCTTCACGTACAGGGCACCTAAATGCAATCTCACGCCCCGCTAATGAAGGCCATTTGGCAGAACGGTGTCCTTCCCAGCCTTGCTGCCTTAAGGCTCTGGACAGCCACTGCAGTCTGCCAGAGGAACCAGACACTGACTCAACAGGAGTCAGCTTCCCATGTTCAACGGGGGAAGTCGTGGTTTCAGACTGGCAAGCAGCCCCCTGCTGCTCCGGACAATGGCAAATAAGAGCCACGCTTCCGAGGCAGCACGCTCTCAACCTTGCTTATATCATTTCACCCTGTAAGGGGGAGGGGGTGCTTAAGGTTCCCCCCACCAACTAATTAAAGAAAAGGCTGCACATGTAAAACTGGTATATCAAGGAGATTTGGCAATCTGCTAATGAAGATAGGCAGCAATCAAACATATGTTGTGTCCCCACCTGCAGTCCAGATGGGAACAGCCAAGCAAGGCCAAGGCAACTGCTTTGAGGATGCTCAGCGAGAGCTCTGGGTTCAAGGGAACAACTTGGCAAAATGGCAGCTATTCAGGGCCCAAAATCTTGGGGGCCTCCCAACCTCCACAGAGCACACATTTGCCACTGGTAGTTTCCCACTGCCAGAGCACTACACTTTAAGTAGGGAAACAGCAAGTCACACAGCCATTTTAACTTTTCTGTGGCCCTGTGGGAAAGCATCACACCAAGGTTTGGTGGCAACTCAAAATGGCGGATGCCTGCCACCAGGTAAAAATACTGTTGGGAGAACGGTTTGGGACAATTAGGGAAAGGTGTCAAACTGACCCCAAGTGCCCTTCAGACTGCAGAGCTTACACACAAGCTGACCTAAGAGATGATGTTCTTGCATTCTGCCATATCATATCCTCACATTTTAGCCATGTACCACTTATTTTTCTTCCTGAAACAAAACAGGCCTGAGGTATACAACATCCTATAAAGTATTCCTTTTGCCATTTGGTGTCTTTGTGTCCCAAACAAGCTGAAGTGAAAAACTGTCTCATGGACTTTCACACAGAAAACTAGTTCAGGGAAGTAAACTTAAGAACTCTGGGTGTCAGTAAGTTGGCAGAAGGCATGGGATTTGACTGGGGAAACATTTACCTCACCAGAGATAAATTAGTTATAGGAGCAGAGAAATATGCCACAGTACATTATTTTTAGCAGTAAATGTTTTACCTGAAGTTTCACCTTGACAGTTTGTTTTCTAATCTTGGTGGTTTATAACCTACTTCTTTTGACACCACAGACACACATGTGCTCATGTGTGTCTGTAACACCCAGAGGAAATGGCTTGGCGTCATGAAATACACCATGGATAGATTTGGGTATAACGTTTTGCAACCATGTATGAGGAGTAGGTCTCCAAGACTAATATTGTATTGGGGGTTTTACTGTATTGGGGTTTTACTACATGGTAAATTTTTTGATGTTGTGAGCCGCCCCGAGTCTTATTGCGATGGGGCGGCGTAGAAATGTTTTAAATAAATAAATAAATCTTTACAGGGAGTGACATTATTGTGTGACTTCCCCCACAAGGGCATGACCTATAACAACATCAGAGAAAAGAACACCCTCTCAGAAAATGCTGCCAATGTTGACAACGTCCCAGGAAAGGAAATTTGACTCTCAGGCTCCCAAAGGCTTGCAGTGCAAGAGACAGAGCAGGTTCTGGAACGAATATACTCATATTCTTCCCCACCTACTCCAGCATTCTGCACTGTTTCTGCACATCAAACATTTGGTGTTAATTACCAATGATATGGCATTGTCCTCATGAAACGGAGAGAGTAAACGCGCAGTCTTTTGGCAAGGCCAAAGTGTGCGTGCACAAGTGGACTTCCCTTTATGCCGTTCACCATCTTAACATACTCACACATATTTAATATTGGTATACTAAAATCTGTATTTAACAAGGCAGCAACTCCTCTCAAAGTCCAAATGTGCCCCCTTGCTCCAAAGGATTGCAGGCCCCTGTATCTCTACAAATGAAACATGATCACGCTTTCCCCAAAAATTGGGATCCATTCCACTCTTTTACAATGGCTGGGTCCATGCAACACAACGAACCATCATGGTCTATTTTCTTGTCTGAACTCAGTCATGGTATTTTGCCATGGTAAGTCTGGCCTTTAAAAACCACAGTAAGAAACTGCAGTCCGTAGCCTTCTGGCCATTTTTCAGATTCCACAGCCAGTGAGTGGTCATAACTTGGAGAATCTGCAAAACTAATTCTGGGGCCAACATTCCAGTCAGTTTGGCTCCCAAACTTCCACCAGTACAACAAAACAGTGATAGTGAATAGACGCTTAAGGCAAACCATCCATAAACAAGTACTTCTTCCTGAATCACATTTTTGCTGGCAGAGGATTAAGTATAAATTCACTATGCTAACACATCTCCCAAAAAGCAGCTCCAAAGTGAATAATGGGCAGTCTCACTGATAAAAATAAATAAGTGATTAAAACAGAGGGTTCAACTGCTAATCTGGACATCATTGCCAAGCCACATGAGACCTGGTGATTTATAAAATCATGGAATAGTAGGGTTGGGAGGGGCCAAGAAGGCCATCGGGTCCAACCCACTGCACTCTGCAGGACTCCAAGTTAAATCCTCCCCTTTGATGGCTGTCTAGCTGCAACTCAGGTTGCCTGTAACTGTACGAACTTAAGAAAAGTCATGCCAGACCTGACCAAATATCTATCTAGTCCTGCATTCTCTCCCACAGTAGCCAACCAGTGGCTCCAATGGGAAGCCCACAAGGGTCATAAGGGCACAAGCACCCTCTTCACGGTGTTCCTCAGCAATCAGTGTTCACAGACGAACTACCGCTAATACCAAATGCAATACACGGCCATCATAATTAGCTGCCATTGCCAGTCTTATTATTCCTGCTGGACAGGGTATGAATATTCTCTTGCTTATAATACAAAAGCACTGCTCCCCACTGGGAGCCTCAAACTGTTTTATGAGCCCATAAAATGATTAAAAATCAATTTTGGAGGAGTAATATCATTCTTAAGACATTTCAAAGGTAATTCATACATGCACTTAGAGACTAGATCATTTAACACTCCCAAAGACAGAGAGAATGGTTAGCCCGGAAGTTGGTCAGAAACACCCATTCCCTCCTGTTTGTCTCAGCAGTGTTAGTGCTGTTGTCAGCTCCACTGGGGAGAGAGGAAGAATTTTCCAGAAAGCAAAGAACAACTGGAAAGCCAAATGCAACTGCCAATACATGTATGGTATTGGTTATTTTTAATTTGATCATAAGGAATGTCTGCAATAGCTCAAACCCGTCACTAAATTGCCTTAGTTGTGGTAAATGATTAATACTGAGTCAGTGTTTAGTTGTCTGAACTACCAACTGACTGTCAACTTACTGCACCACCTTGCCAGCTTAAGAGCAGAAGAAGAGAAGCGTGATCTAGCCTTGGAATACATACCTGATTTTGAGCCACAGGACGGGGCGATCTGGCCATTTGGACACGTACACATGTTCGGTCTTGAGCAAAATCCATCTCCACAAGAATGTCTACAAATGGCTTTAAAAGAAGTTTTAAAGAAAGATATCAGCAAAGGAACCTTCAAGAAGGCACAAGCAACAGTTTGGGGCCTGTTGGCAGAGATGGCGATTGGAGGATCCATCCTGCGCATCACCACAAACCGGCTGCCGTGGGCACGATGGCTAGTCATCAAGGGTAAGGGACTGGACCAAAGGACCAAGGAAGAGAGTTCAGTGCTATCAGGAACCTGCTCTTCCTAGCACTCCGCACCACCTTCAGGCATGGCCCTCGCTAGTCTCACATGAACCCTGTTACTGCCCAGCCCTGTTTACAGGCAGAAGTGAAGGGAGCCACTCCCCTTCCTCTTCCTCCTCCTCTTGGTGATGGTTTGCAGCAACCAGCTATTTCCGTTTTCTAAGAATGTCTCCAAGCCCCAAGATATGGGCCAGAAGGATTCACAGAAAATGAAGACGGCAGGGGCTGGAAACTCTCACTTCACTCTGAAGTAATTCTGGCTTAGCAGTGAGAAAGTGTGATGGGTTGTTTTGTTTGCCCAAGGTGGTTTAATTGTATTTTGTTCCATACTTTGCAATGGGAACCTAATTCTTAGATGCATTTTGGGGGGAAATAGTTTTCCCCAATCAACTTCCCCAGTGTTTATAGGCACCCTCATACATAAGCACAGCCCAAAAACTGATTTGATTTGTAGTCCGCCTTTCTGCCATGAAACACAGCACTCAAAGTGACTTACAATAAAACCGAAACAATAGTAAAACCACACACTAAAGCACAATAAAAACATAGCACTAAGATAACAAAATCAGATCCAACCAACAGAATGGCTTCTACACCAAAGGTCTGCTTGGATAAAGAGTTCTTTGCTGGCTAGCAGAAGGAGAGCAGAAAGCAAGAGCAGCTAGCCTGCACCAGCAGTGAGTTCCACAGTCTGGAAGCAGACATGGAGAAGATCTTCTCTCACCACCAAACACACCTCTGACAGCAACAGTATCAAAAGGAGGGCCTCTCCCAAGCATCTTACAATCTGGGCAAGCTCATTCGGCATTCTAGAACAGCCTTCTGGAAAATTTCTGAACAGATTGCTAAGTCAGCAGAAGCAATGCTATGACTCTGACCTGCACATTCCACAGTGGACTAGCTTTTTCCCAAGTCACATGGATCCTGCAGACTGGCAGACCAGCTTTTCACTTTGTTATGCAGCATGAATGCACAGTAGCATTAATTTGTGCAAGCACAATTTAGGGGAAGTAAATAAGAAATTCTGTTTTTTTAAAAAAACTGATTCCATCCATGTGTGCACAACGGGATAAAGGACACCTAACCATCTACAAAACACAGGCAGAACTGATTTAACAAAAGCTGTACATTCCAAGAAGCAACAGCCCAGCTGGACCTGCTGTTTCCATCCACTAATGAAGGCGAACACCTTGGAAGTCACAAAGGCAGGTTTGTTCCCCAAGATCCCAAGGGGGCAGGACTGTGGCATGAAGCTGCTGCCCTGCTAGCTCCTGACAGTGAAAGTTATTTGCTCCATGCCTTGTGGGAAATGGCGGAGCATTCCTTTCTTAGCTAGCTAAAAGGTCAGGGTGGAGATGGCTAGCAGCCCTTGTGCTCTCATAAGATCTCTACCAGAGCTTGAGGAAGGTGGCAACCCCTTCATTCCAATCAGCAGATTGTGTGCTTCTACAAAAGACCAGCGGTGCAAAGATGCCACAGTAGTAGTACTCACTCTGCACTTCTCTGAGCAGTGAGACATACTAGGGTGCAACTCTGCTTGGTTTCCTTCAAACGTAAGAGTACTGGGAGAACCAGGGCACAATCCTGTGGCAACAGCAGTTCCAGGGTGCCCAAGCTTCCTTCCCTCTCTCTACCTAGAACTAAATCCACCTCACTCCTACCATCAGATTTTCGCAGGCTGAGTTAGAAACACAGAAACAGAGCAAGTCAGAAGGGGCTCCTGGGCCATCTAGTCTGACCCCAGCTCCAAACAGTTCCGCTGACAACATGCCCACCATGTGCAGTTTGGAGGCTTAAGGGCATCTGCCACAGGGGCGATAGGATTGTGCCCTTATAGGATCATTTGCAAAGAGGCATTCCTATGATCCTGGAAACTAGGCAAAAGCAACATTTGCGCTGGTTTATGGGAAGCCCTGCTCAGAGCTCTGCAAAGCTGTGTCATTCCTGCTTGACCCTAACCAGTAGGTGAAATGGATTCAGTGCTTCAGCAGCAACCTGGGAAGAAAAGGCTCACCAGCAAGGCGGTCTGCATTAAGTGAACTTGCCATGCAGGTGTCCTCATGATTAAAGCACTGTGTTTAAACCTGAAGTTGTATCCTGCATCTGCCCAAACATTGGTGCTTTCTCAGTCTGTCCATCCAGCCAGGAGATCCACTACAGATACACCTGAAATTTATTAAGGCTGACCCATTTTTTCCATGGACATTAATCCCACCACAGGCCTAAAACAGACTCTGGTGCTCCTCGCTCCAGCAGCTGGAGTGCCCCTTGGTCATCCCAGCCCTGCCTGTGTTATTGCCCTCCAGAAGACAGACTTAACAGTGCCAACAAAGGAAAGCAGCTGTCATTCAATCAGCACTCAATGACTAGCAGTCTTAAATTTCTCCACAATCCTTGTAGAATTCAGTCACTCCGGGGCATTGTGGGAAATGCAAATGGCACGGCTGCTCAGGACCGAGCAGGGGACCCAGGCGTCAGCAATGTGCCCTGGGCATCCTGAGTTCACTAAGGAGTGAAAGCCAGTCACTGGGTATATCCCACACACGGTACGGCAGAAGGAAGTCTAGGGATGTGGGTGCCACACACTTTCTACTGAGTCAGCCAGTAGCAATTTTCTTTTGCTTTTTAAATGGCACAAGCAAGGAGACTCTCTCTCTCTCTATACACTCACAGCAACACAATCTAGATGTTGCAGAACTTGGTGTACAGCAGCTACACTGTGTGTGGAGAGATTCCTTGGGTACAAGTGCCCGGCTGTAGCTTTTTGTCAAGCAGAAGGAGACAGACCAGGACAACTTTGCCACAGATGTGGAGAGCGGAAGTCCTGCATTTTCCCCTTCTGTCTGTTCTTTTTGCTTATTGCTGTGTGCTTGGACTGGGTTTGTTCTATTCTTGGTGGGAACTCCCAGAACACTCCTGCCCCAAATTGCGTGCCCTTATACAGAGCTGCCTACAGGGGACAGGTCTCCACAATGACATGCAAAACAACACCACTTCTTTTTTAATAGGAGGAAGCAATATATTTAATGAAATAAGTAGTCACAGAAACTTACGGACTATGCACTGGTTTCCACCAGGTAAAGTCTTCCATCCAGGACAACAGTAGGCATTGTAACGTGATCCACATACATTGGGCCTGCAAGATAGAGACAAGGAAAATAATATAATTTTTAAGCCTCTGTAAGTGCTTTTTGTCTGCGCTCGCATGCACACACATGCACACAGTGTCAAAGAAGAGGTGCTATTCCTGAAAGGGGGTGTGTCTCCTTGCTGCTTGCTCCAAGTGACCTCTGGAGCTGACTACAGGAAGCACTCGGCATTTCTGATGTGAGGGAGATCGAGGGAAAGGCTGCAGCACTTGCAGCGGACGTTTTACGTTATTCTGTATAACCTGTGCTCCTCACTTCATGGCCCTCTGCCACCTCAAGAGAGAGCTTCTCTCCAGCAATTTCTCTTTCATTCACTCTTAAAGAAAAAGACATTCAAGAAGAAACTGGACAGCCCTCTGAGTGGGATGGTGTAACTTGGTGTCCCGCAGCAGCAGGGGGTTGGGCTGATGGCCTTCATGGCCCCTTCCGACTCTACTGTTCTAGGATTCTATAGCCTATCCCTCTTCTGCCAGTAGCTGTTCCGACTTAGCATGGTCCCTCTAGCCTTGCCTTGGGGTTTGCTTTAGCGGTTGGCAAACTATCTGAAAAGGCTTTAGAGGTGGGAACTCCAGAGACCTGCTGCTCATGGGCCAGAAGGGTATGAAGAGGAAAACACAAGAGCGGTGGTGAAGGAACCCAAGAGGCAAAGAAAAATGTGGCAGACTAGCTTTGTGGTACATGGCACAGTCCTCCAAGGGGCCTCACTGATGCTGCCTGGAGCCCCACGTGTCTCCTGCAGGAACAACAGTGACACTTGCCAAGAGGCAGCAACCGTGTTCCACATCTCTGCAAGTGTTCTCCTCCTGCACGCCTTCCAGTGAGTGGAGGATGAGTGGCACCACCCAAACTCGGAGGAACATGAAGGCCATGGCTTGCATTTGAAGAGCCTGCAGCTTTTCCTCTGGGACAGAGCACCCCCAAATGTCTCATTCCCCCGTTCAATGGCCTGGGGCATTTCCGACAGAACGTTCAGGCAGAAGGAGAGTCAGTCCCTCTCTCCCTGTCCTACAGCTGCCTTTTGAAAAAACACAGGGAGTCGCACCCCATGAGTTCTTTGCAACAGTTTCTCCCAGTTTCTCAGCAGATGCAAGGATTAGTTAAATTTGTGCCAGGTAGGATTATCATGTGAGCTACACTACCCTCCTTCGTCAACAGCTACCATACCTTTGGAAAATGCTGGAAAATAAGAGCAGGGTCTTGCTTTCTCCATCACATTCTGCTTGCAAACATACCAGAGCCACCTGGCTATGGGCCTTTGCAGACAGAGGCCGGGCCTCGATGGACCTTTTTCTGAACCAGCATGGCACTGAACAGAATGGTGCTTAGTGACTGTTGTTAGAGTGTGTGTGTGCGTGTCCCTCTCTCCTGAGAAACCATATGACAAAATTAGAGTTGGGAAGGTGGGGGCTTGACCATAGGAGTGGTGGGTAAGAGACATGTTTCATTTACTTTTTATTTGATTTGATTGCAAGAGTGTAAAATCGTCTATGCACCCTGCAGCTTCCAGAGTGGTATACCAATATAAGTAAATTAATAAGAAATATAATGAAAACATTGGTTTCTCATCACATCATGATAAACACTGGAAGACAGCAAATATGGTGGCCAGACAAAATCAACCAATTGCAATGCCCGGATAAACAAAAAGGGTTTGGGGCCAGCAATGAAACAGCTGCAGTTTTGGTTCCTGCCATCCCTGCGCAAGCAGGGTATCCCACAGTCTGTATGTCGTAACTGAGAAGCCCCTCTCCCTTGCTGACTCATAAAATAGTTGTGGTACTTGGAGAAAAGGTAATCAGGGAAGGCCCAAGTCGGCAGCAGGGTGGTACAGAGAGATGCACCCATGAAAATATTGGGGCTCCTCACCTGTTCCTCTGTGACCTTCCTATTATATCTAATAAGATAACTGCATCAACCAGAACAGCAGGGTTCACTCCATGTGCAAGCGGAACTAGCACAAATGCAGACAATCAGGTGCTCTCTGTAAGGGCCCATTGTGGTCCACCTCCATTCCTCGCAGTCAGAGCACCAGAAATGCATCTGGACTTGCCGTCTTATCAGCAGTGCCAAACCCTGTTCCAATACCTCGTGCCAATAAGGTAAGCAGAGATTTTCTACCCTTGTTTCCTGCTTGAGGAAATGAGATTTTATCGATACAGGAAATGGTATTTGTTGCTGGCTACCGGTGAAAGCATGTGATTTGCGTTTTTTCAAAGGTTGCTTTAAAGAGTACATTCGGTTCCAGTTCTCTTGATTAGCCTGTCTGATCAAGAGAACTAATCCAAGCCCAAAGCAAGCAAATAGCTTCATGGGACTAGCAATTTACCAAAGGGGACACCCACTGCTCCACAGCTCATCCTCACAGCCAATCCATGGATTTCAATTCACATCCCACTCCGTTTGAAAGGCTCCCCATGTGCAGCTCACACATATTTAATATTGGTATAGTAAAATATATATTTAACAAGGCAGCAACTCCTCTCAAAGTCCAAATGTGCCCCCTTGCCCCAAAGGCTTGCAGGCCCCTGTATCTCTACAAATGAAACATGTTCATGCTTTCCCCAAAAATTGGGATCCATTCCACTCTTTCACAATGGTTGGGTTCATGCAACACAACAAACCATCATGGTTTCCCCCCCTCTGTTGGTCTGGTTTCTTGGTCTGAACTCAATGATGGTGTTTCTCCATGGTAAGTTTGGCCTTTAAAAACCACAGTAAGAAACAATGGTTTGTTTTGTGGTTTCTCTGTACCACCACGGCTTGTTGTGTTATCTGAACCCTGAATCATGGTTTCCATGGTCCTGATATGCAACCACCACAAAGTCCTCTGGAAAGAGGGGCAACTGTAGGAGCTGCTGCAGCAACCCAGCCTCTTTGTGTGGACCAATGAGAGAGCAGCAAGTGACAGAGGCAGGGAGCAATGCTCCTTGGGATTGCATTCCAGGCAGAGACAACAGAAGGACTGAGTTGGGAGGATGGAACCCACAATAACATAGAAGCCACTTGATCATTTGCCAGGCAGTTATGGTAAAAACCTGCACACCATGGTAACCATGGCTGGTTACTTGCCATGTTGTCGAACAAAGCCAATGTGTTGCTGCTTTGTTTTCTGGGCCATGTATAAACAAGCAATGCTACTAAATGGCACTGCTGAGCCTGTGGACCCCTGCGAGCTAATCAGTTCTGCTGTGAATAGCTGGGGAGGGGGAATGATGGCCAGGAAGCCCAAATCCCACTCTGTGCACCCATATACCCATTCTGTGCCTTGAATATTTCCCATGAAGCCTTGACTGGAATGGCCCTCCCCACTCCCCCCCCCCCCGCTAACCAGTCCTTCCTTCCTCACTCACAGTCATCCCTTACATCAGCTCCATTCAGAAAAACCAGAGAGCTTCTCTAATTCACATGGCACAGGACGTAATTGCTACAGAATTCATACAGGAGAGAACAATGTGTAGCTGTCAACCCACATACGCTTGTCCCTGGAAGACGCTGACAGAAAGGTCTTGCAAGCAAATGGAGCAGTGTCAAAACACCACTGCCCCTTCATTAGGGTTTGGTGATCTCTAACAGAGTACAGGAAGATGGAGCAGGGGCTTATGGGTGACTGTGCTGCTCTGAGAAAGCATGGAGCAGCCAGATATCTCATTATATATCACTAACAGTGCTGTTTTTTAAAGCAGGGGAACATGTCAGTGTTTCTTTACAGCAAAAGAACATAGGAGGTTCCTTGGTCTCTCTAGCCCAGCATCCTTGGCATTGACTGGCAGCCGCTCCCCGGGGTTCCAATCAGGATTCTTTCCTGGTGTTACCTGGAGAAGCTGCTAATTGCACCTGCATGTAAAATGCGCGTTCCACCCAAGTTAAGACTTCCCAAACAGTAAACCAGCAAGAACTTTTAAGCTAGTGCTTTTCATAGTTTCTGCCTCGTGGGAACTCTTGACGCACTGGCTTGCCTGCCAAGATAGCTTCTTTGCCAGGCACTGAACTCCTGTGGATCAAAAAGTACTCTGGAATGTGTCCGTGCACACACGAGTGCAAATGCACTCACACATGCACACAGAGCTTGTATGAGGGCACTGCGAGCTGTCATCTGCACCTCATTTGTACTTAGAACGTGCCCAGTAAGTCACCCAGCACACACTTCTGCAAGTCTGTGGCAAGGAAAAGTAATTGTGGAAAGCACGACTCCTGCCTCTCAGAGAAGCAGAATGAGGGATTCCCACCCAGGATCCACCAACAGGATTCTAGGAGCCAAAGAATGCCTCTTGCACACCTCTGCCACAAAGCAACCTGGTTCAACACGGAGATCGATAAAAGATGCCAACCCAAGAGAAGACTTGCAATTCCAACATCCCCCAAATGACCTCCTGGGGACACAGATGGTCCATAGGAAATGCTGGGTCAAACAGTTCCACAACTGTCCCTGAGATAACCCTTTCCTAACCAAGCAGAAACCATATTCTGGGCAAGGGACACTGGCCATCTGTCAGCTCCACCGGGAACAGCGATTTCTGGCATGGCTGCAAGCTCTGCCTGAGGCAAAAGCTTTCCACCAGAAGTCCTGGCGAAGGCTGGCAAAAGTGTGGGAGCTGAATAAATTAAGGCCAGGAGGAGGCCAGACAGAGTAGGAAGAGCGAGTCTGAGAAGACAGCAGCAGAGCGAGAGCGGGGAGCTTAAGTGGCAGAGCAGGGCTGAGGCAGGGCTGCGATGAAAGTGTTTTTTCTCAGGGCAGACAAGGAAGTTGCTATGTGGGGCACCGCGGAAGGGCTTTTAAAATCATTCAACATAAATGCATGTGGAACATTTCAGTTGGCATTGCTGCTCGCTGAAAGTTGGCATCAGCATCTGACTATAATATAACACACGTTCTTCCAAGCAATCACTAGCTGGCTTCCACCTTTTGACAACCAAACTTTTGAAAGGACCCAAAACAACACTGGCCGTGATTTGCAATCATTCACCTGAGGATTTTAAGCCAGTTGGT